AGAACACCAAGAGTGAGTGGCATCTAAGGAAAATTTACGCAAAGAGAAGAATAAAAAAAAATCCTAAGACCTTTAATGAAAAGGTTACAAGCTCCTTGAGGACAGAGCTTGTTTTTATCTAGTAGGTAATCAATAAATCTTTGATAGACTGAATCTTTCCTATATTATGAAACAAGTATAAAAGTTTTCTCCCTTTCTAATTTTACTATGATTTATAGCATAATCTGAAGTTGTGCCATAGGTTTGGTCCATTCCAATTCCAGTACAACCTATGGCACAACTTCAGATTATGCTATAAATCATAGCAAAATTGAGGTCCTAGCAGCAGGACCTCAATTTTCAATTAATTAGTAAAATCTAATGTATTAGAAAGGTTTTCAAATATTTTCAACTGTTATAAAGATTATGATTTAAGAGTTTGCTCTTAAATTTGCAGAAAGCTTGAAATTCTGTTTTCTGAAAAACATAATTTACTTTAAAATAATTCTAAATAAAATTCAATTATAGGCACTCATATCATATAGGCACTCATATAGGCACTCATAATTTTGCTCTGCTTCCGGTTTTTTTTCCAGAAAGAAATTGTAAATATAAAATAAGACTCAATTACCAGGCACCCCCTAGTGGCAGTAAAATTAATTTAAGAAAAAAAATTTTTGTAAGATAGGTTTTAGAGTTCTCCAAATCTATAGTTTTCACCAAACCTTGAAGATAAAATGTTTTGCCAGTAAATAATTTAAGAGCATGTTATTTGATATCTACGTTTTACTAATAATGTACTGTAACTAAAATTGAATTCACATACTGAAATTTCATGAATATTCTTAAGAATTACAGTAAGTAAAATAATGTATATAAATGCTCTTCAAAGAGTATATAAAGACAAATTGTAAGATTTTTAAAAAATCTCATTCTAAAGAAGAGCCTCCAGGCCTTTTGAGCCACACTTCTCTTGCTCAGGCCTGCTTCCACATCTGGAAGTGTACTTTCCCTTCTAATAAAACTTTTCTTTTCTACTGTAAAAAATAAATAAACACATAACTAAAAATAAAAATAAAAATAAAGAAGAGCCTCCAAAAAGGAAGGCATCTTTGGAATAAAGATTTGTATATTTCTGTCAAGAATCTGAAAGCCATAGGAGCTTGGAGTAGTAGATGGAGAGTCAGATGGAGACTTCAGATTCAGAAGTATTTGCTGTTGACCTTAAAAATCCACACAACTCTTCTAAACACTTCAATTTTCTCATCTACAAAATGGAAGTATCATAGACAGCCTGTGCCCTTGCAGGGTTTGTTATAAAAATCAAGTAAGAGTTGAATGAAAAGGATTACTATTGATATTTATTAGCGTAAATAAATCATTTTAATTATTGTTCTTCGTAATTTCTGCTTTCACATATAATGAACCACTCCTGCATACTGAATTTTTAGAATCACCCTGGCAACTAAAAACAATGCTCCCCATTTTATAAAAATCTAAGGCCCTAGCCAAGCTGGGACTGCAATCCAAAATTGTTCTCAATATCTTGATGTCTTTTGTCTGGAGAGACTGATTATAATTACATTACTTTCCTGAGTCGGTTATAATTAATTTTATTTAAGAGTGACACTATAATACCAATGTTATCTAGTCTGTTTAAAGAAAACTGATACTTTATAAAGAAAGAACCTAATGTTTGTCATTGTACTGGAATTGGAATGGTGGAATCTAGCAGCAGGATCTCATCAAAGTTCTGCACTTCAATTAATGGGCAGTTTATCATCCAACTCCCTTCCATATTCCAGCATCCACTGACTCATCTCAGAGAAACAAAACAATAAAACCAATTAAACATCAAACCAACCACCTAAATAAAATATACCATTAAAAAAAAATCCCGAATCTAATATGAAGAAAGAAATGGGGATAATTATGTACATAAACTTTCCTATTTTCCTCTACCAATTTCAGAGCTCTTCTAGTCATTTGCCAACTCTAAAACATAACACTAAAAATCATAATTACCTTTTATTTTCTCCCTTTTAGAGTATAAATTAGGTTATAAGTTATAAATATTTCTATGAATTTACCAATTATAACAAAATTCTGCAAAAACAAATCAATTTGATTCATTATGCAGTTTAGCACAGTAATTTTATCTGTCTACTATATTTAATAATATGATGTAGTACAGAACTCAATAGGACATTGTTTTTGGACTCCATTATATAGTTAAGATGTCAAAAGAATATTTTTATTTGGTGAAACATAAAATGAAAATCACAAGTTAAAAATAATTATTACCATAGCCTTTCAAGTTCTGCATAAATTTTGTTGTTTTAAATTGTCTTCCATGAAATCAGAATTGCACATAACATCACACACATACACACATAAATAATCTCTAGTTTTATAAAAAAATATATTAGATTAACACATTGAAAAAATACACCTTGGCTTTTTAGTTAGACTTAATAAAATGTGCATTAATATGACGTTTTTATTAGTAGGCAGAGCCTCTACATGTTCCTCCTCCCACCACCCAGCTACTCTGTGTTTTATGTCTTTTGTTTGGCTTTGAATTTTTCTGTCTTTCTTACTGTTCTAACACAGGAAACAGTATCACTATAACATTGTAAAAATTCCTAATCCAACTAGGGAAGACTAGTTCTATATGAAGACTCATTCTCCAATAAACACTGCATTTCAGAAGCACTGTAGGCCCCTGCTTGCTTGCTTTGGGACTGAGCAACTGTCAATCAAACTAAGGTCGGCCACATGGCAATGAAGAGCATTTCCATTAGCCCAGGAAGACGTTTTTGATAAATCTGTTTAATCATGCTACTGGAAAGTAATAGATTATAATCAATGATATCTCTTGTCTGTTTATAATTATGTGGATTACATACTGGATGACAGTGATTACATTCTGTTAACTAACCTACAAAATAATGTTATACCTACCTAGATAACCATATCTATAACTCTATGTTTATATCATCTGGTGTTTCTATAATCAGGAGGACAAATACTGTTTGGCAGTTTTTAACAGTGTGCAAATTCCACTTCCCATTAATATATGATCAGAGCATAAAAGATAAGGAGCAACCCAAAATATCTTTAAATTCTTAACCTAAAACAACCCTATTAACAAACTACCAAATGCAATTACATTAGATTTAACTTTTTTCAGTTCAGCAGTTTATATTTTAGTAAAGTCAAATTTCATTTTCTTTTTGCTACTATCTACCTGTGATGGTATCATCTATAATAAATATATATTTGGTCTTCTTCAACACACAGCTCCTAAAACCCTTGGAATTTTCTAATTGATAAGAGTGATAAAGGTGAAAAGAGCAAGGAGTCTTTCGTTATTCATAAGAAGCCCCTTTCAACCACACCTGAGTTTGTTAATGAGGTCACTTTTAGAAAACCCCTCAGGATGGAGAATGATGAACAGAGAAACCAACCTTGTGATTAGAGGGTTGCAACTTTAAGCTACCCATATCCCCACCCTCTCCACCTCTGGGAAGATATGGGGCGGGGGGCCGCGGGGGCGGCTAGAGGTTGAGTTAATCACTAATAGCCAATGATTTAGTCAATCATGCTTATGTAATGAAGCCTCCACCAAAAATGCTAGCTGAAAGGTTTTTAGAGCTTCCAGGTTGGTGAACAAGAATTTGTCCATGTGCTAGGAGGATGGCATACTTCAGACTTTACAAGGACAGAAGCTCCTTCGCTTGGGATCCTTCTGGATCTCATCCTATTTATTTCTTCATCTGGCTATTAATTTATATCCTTTAAAATATGCTTTGTAATAAATCTGTAATATTAAATAGAGAACTTTTCTGAGTTCTGTGAGCCATTCTAGCAAATTATGAAACCCAAGTGGGGTAGGGGGTTGTCGGATCCTCCAATTATAGCCAGTTGGTCAGAAGTTGGTCAATTACAGATGACAACCTACACTTGCAACTGCTGTCTGACATGGGGGCAGTCTTGTGGGACTGAGCTCTGAACCTGTGGGATCTGATGCTATCTCCCGGTAGATACCATCACAATTCAGTTAAACTGTAGAATATCTAGTGGATGTTAAAGAATAGCCTGCTGTGTGGAAAAAAAAAAAAAAACCCCACACATTTGGTGGCCAGAAGTGTCCTGTGAGTAATGTAGTAGAGAAAAATATGAATTTTCACCTTCCATTATATAAATAATAAAGATATTTGGTAGGTGGTAATTAAAAAGTTTGACAATAATTGAAGTTAGGGACAAAGGTCTCTCTAAAAAAAAGAAAATGTGTATAAAAATTATAAAACTCTAAAAAACAACTTAAACACAGTTCTGGAATAATACTGTACTGACAAAAATTATTACTCTATCACTAGCATAATCATGTTTACTTTATCTAGCAATAATATTATATAATTAAATATTAAAATAATTTGCTCATTCTATTTCATTGTGAAAACTGAAGAAAGAATGAGACACTCCATTCCAAACAGAAAGTCTTAATAAAAACTTTATATCGAAGAAAATTACAGGCCAGTATCCTTGATGAGCATAGATGCAAAAATTCTCAACAAAATAGCAAACCAATTCAACAATACATTTAAAGGATAATATACCATGACCAAGTGGGATTCATTTCAGGGATACAAGGATGGTTTAACATCCATAAATCAATCAAGGTGATATATCGAATAAATAAAATAAAGGATAAAAACCATATGATCATCTCTATAGATACAGAAAAGGCATCTGACAAAATTCGACATCTTTTTATGATAAAAACTCTCAACATGGGAACAAAAGGAAACATATCTCAACACAATAAAGGCTATATGTGACAAACCCACAGCTAATATTATACTCAATGGTGAAAAGCTTGAAAGCTTTTCATCTAAAATCAGGAACAAGACAAGGTTGCCCACTATCACCACTTCTATTCAACACAGTATTGGAAGTCTTAGCCATGGCAATCAGATAAGAAAAAGAAATAAAAGGCATCCAAATCAAAAAGGAAGATCCTTTTGTACTTGATAAGCATGATGATTAGGTCTTCACGCTCTTGTGTGAGATGTGCCTCCCTCAAATCTTGATATGACATTGGAACATTACCTGTCTGATGTGAAAAAATAAAAAAGAACAAATCGGAAAGGAAAAAGTAAAACTCTCATTATTTGTAGACGACATGATGTTATACCCCATGATACAAAAAACCCCAAAGACTCTGCCAAAAAACTATTAGAACTACTAAATGAATTCAGTAAAGTTGCAGGATATAGAATCAATATACTGTTGTGCTTCTATACACAAATAATGAACGATGAGAAGGAAAATAAGAAAACAATCCCATTTACAGTTGCATCAAAGAGCATAAAATATCTAGGAATAATTTAATGAAAGAGGTGAAAGATCTGTACTCTGAAAACTATACGATGATGAAAAAAAGAAAGGAAGATACAAAGAAACAGAAGGATATACCTTGCTCATAGACTGGAATAATTAATATTGTTAAAATCTCATTACTATATAAAGCAATCTATAGATTCAATGCAATCTCTATCAAAATAGCAATGGCATTTTTACATAACCAAAACAACTGATGCTAAAATTTATATGGAAGCACAAAAGACCCCAAAGAGCCAAAGTTTGAGGGGAAAAAAGTGGGAGGTATTACATTCCCTAATATAAAACTATACTATAAAGCTACAATAATCAAAACAGTATGGTACTAGCTAAAACCAGATATACAGCTCAATGGAATAGAATACAGAGCCCAGAAATAACTCTTTGCTTACATGGTCAATTCATCTATGACAAAGGAGGCAAGGGTATACAATGGGGTAAAGACGGTCTCTTTAATAAGTAGTGTTAGGGAAACTAAACAGATACAGGCAAAAAAAAAAAAAAATGAAACTTGACCACTTTCCTACACCATATACAAAATTAAACTCAAAATTGATTGAAGATTTAAATATAAAACCTAAAACCATAAAACTCATAGAAGAAAACACAGGTAGTAAACTCTTTGACATCATTCTTAGCAATATCTTTTTGGATATGTCTCTCCTCAGGCAAGGGAAACAAAAAAATAAACAAATGGGACTATATCAAACTCTGCACAGCGAAAGAAAGCATCAACAAAACGAGAAGAAAATCTACTAAATGGGAGAAATATTTGCAAATCATATATCTGAGAAGGGGTTAATATCCAAAATATATAGGGAACTCATAGAACTTAACACCAAGATGGGCATATGAAAAGATGCTCAACATCACTAATCATCAGAGAAATACAAATTAAAACCGTAATGAGATATCATCTCGCACCAGTCAGAATAGTTAATCATCAATAAATCAACAAATAACAAGTACTAGCAAGGAAGTGGAGAAAAAGGAACACTGGTACACTGTTGGTGGGATTGCAAATTTGTGTAGCCACTGTGGAAAACAGTATAGAGATTCCTCAGAAAAAAAAGAAAAATAGAGCTTCTATATGATCTAGCAATTCCACTTTGGGGTATTTATCCGAAGAAAACAAAAATTAATAATTTGAAAAGATATATGCACTACCACGTTCTTTGCAGAATTACTAGTTATAGCCAAGATATGGAAGCAACGTAGGTATCCGGCAATAGATGACTGGATAAAGATGTGGTATATATACAGTGGGATATTATTCAGCAATAAAAAAGAATGAAATCTTGCCATTTCTGGTAATATGGGTAGACCCAGAGCATATTATACTAAGCGAAATACGTCAGACAGAGAAAGACAAATACCGTATGATCTTACTGATATGTGGAATCTAAAAACACAAAATATTGAATAAACAAAACAAAATAGAAATAGAGCCATAGATTATAGAGAACAAGCTGATGGTTGGCAAAGGGGATGGAAATTTAAAAAAAAAAAAAAGAGAGAGAATTAACTCTATATCTGATATTTTCACACAGTTCATAGTAAATAAATAAATAATTGATCATCTGGCCTGAGTTGCCTTCTAGAGCTTTTTTTTTTTTTTTTTTAAATAATAGAGCACAGTATTTTTTGAAGGAAATAATATGAGCAATATAAAAAAAAATGTGTGTTTTTCAAGCTGCATTCTGCAATGCCCAATTAATTTTCCTCAAAAGTATGCCTTCTTAAGCCAATGGAGAGACTGGAGTTCAATTTACGCATTCTCTTCCCTCCAACTCTAGTCCTTCCCCTTCAAACAGTGCCATCTTTAACTATTTTTTACATAATGGAGTTTTGCTAAAGGTTTTCTTTGGAAAAAAGATTCCACCATTAAAATCAAACAAATAAACTATTCAAACAAGATAATTTGAAAATTTATATAGTTAACCTTTTTTGGTAAGTTAAAACTTCAGCAAGATTTTGATTTGATTTTGATATTTATATAGAGCTGAAAGCAATGTTATTAACAACCACACTTTTTTCATTTAAGATTCACAGAAAAAGTAAACACCTTACCCAGAATGACTAGATGACGAAGGTGGTGGCAAGTCTGGTGTAAGAACATAAAGACTGTTGTTTTTTGGCAAATGTAGTGATTTTAAGACCATCTGAAAAAGAAAAAATAAAAACAAAATGACTGTTAACATTGTGTATTAATTTTTTCCTATAGTTCTTGAAAAATTGTCAATATTGTAATTTTTGACTTTTCATCTCTTGACAATTTCCTAAAAGGGTAATACAGAAGAACTACTGAATCCAAATAACCTTGTTTCTCCAATATATCATAAACTATCATAAATATGAGGTTAAAATAAAATACAAATTCTTTAACTCATGAAGAGATATAAATAGATTAAGAACACAGTTAAGACTCATTAATATCTTCACTGAAGAAGTATATCCTTGCAACTAATATGCACTTCATTCCAGGATCATTATAGCAAAAATTAGCAATGTAGGTTTTCAGAAGTCATTAGACCTAGAAAAGATCATCGAAAGCACCTCAATCTAATAACTTTATAGATGAGGAGCTGAGCCTGAGGTCTCTAGTAAGTGTTTCTTTGGTCAGATAGGTCAATTAACTCTTACTCCAGAGAATTTTGTTGTTGTTAAAGTACTCTGTCTGTGGTGAATAAACTGCTCTTGGGCTATATCTGACCTACTATCTTGATAACAGTACAAAATTTCATAAAATTTCTTTATCATAAAACTCCTTTCATACCTTTCAAACTCTCATCTTGATGGTAAACACTTGCTAATGTACTTCAAGCTTTTTTTGACAGTAATACACATTAAGAAACATTTTTTACATCTTTACATCATAACCCAGGACATACATATTTATTCAACAGATTTTTACTTAGCCACCTACTCTGTGCCAAGACTATTCTGAACACTGAGGGTATAGCAGTGGACAGAACAGTCTAAAATGCCTGATCATATGGAGCTTACATTTTAGTAGGAATAAATAAAATAAGTAAACTATATAGCTGAGTATTAGAAAGTGATAATTTTTTGATTAAATATAAAGCAGGGAAAGGGTGTGAGGGATAAGGGTTTGGGGAGTTATATAATTTTAAACTGGGTGATAAGAGTGGTTCTCACTTGGAAAATATGACAGTAAGCAAAGACTTGAAGGTGTTAAAGAAATAATCATGAGAACATAAAAAAATGCATATTTCAGACAAACACAATAGCAAGTGCAAACGCTTAATAAAAAAACAATAAGTACAATGTAACTGAAGACAAATGAGCACAGGGAGGAGATAAGTCAAAGAGGTCACAATTATGGTAAGGGCAGGAAATGTGTTGAGTCATTTAGGCTATTGTAAGGACTTTGACTTTTACTCTGAATGAGGTAGATGGGAAGCTATTAGAGTGACATGATTAAATATATGTTTAAAAAGGATCACTTTGTCAGCTGTGTTGAAAATGGATAGGAAAGGTGTTAACAGAAGAGGTAAAAGTACAGAGGAGACTAAAGAAATATACTAAGATAGTGATAATGACTTGTGCCAGTGCGTTGGTAGTAGAAATTGTACAAAATAGTTAGATTCTGAATATATTTTAAAGATAGCACCAAAAGGATTTGTTGACTAATTTGATATGGGTTATGACAGAAAGGAGTCAATAATGAACTAAAAGAATTTGGAAGGAACAACTGCAAATGAAGACTTCCATTTTGGACACGTAAGTTTGAAATGTATATTAGACATTCGAGTGGAGAAAATAAGTAAGTAGCTGATATGTCAGCCAGAAAGTCAGGGAACAAGCATGCATGAAGATATAAATTAGAGATATGAAATTGATAGTGCATATAGATGATACTTAAAAGCCATGACCAGAAGATAACTGAATTTAGTAATGCTGGTGACTTTGACAAGAGCACTAGCAGGTTCCTACTTAGACTGGGCTCGAGAGAAATGTGGGAGGAAAGGAAGCAAGACAAAAAATATAGACAACTCTTTAGGAGAAGTTTTATCATCAAGGGGACGAGAGAAATGAAGCAAAAAAAGAAGGGGAGATGGAATCAAGAGAATAATGGAAGAAATAACATCATGTTTGAATATTAATGGTAATGTTCTACTAGAGGAAAATATTGATGATGCAGGAAAGACAAGAAAGAGTAAAGTCCTTGAATAGGCCAGAGAGAATACAGAATGTAATCCAAAGCAAACATGGAGGTTTGGTCTTAGATAGGAGATTGGATTGGCATTGGCATCAACAGTAACAGAAGGAAAAGGACAAGTAGGTGTGTAAGATGCAGATAAATAAACAGAGACCAAGCTGGGAGCTTGTGGAAGTTCTGTTGTGATTGCCTTTATGTTGTGAGTGAAACAACATAGAAAGCGAAGTCATCCGCTGAGAGTGAGAAGAGGGGAGAAGTGTTTTAAAGGTCTAAGGAGAAGATAAGTATAAAACAGCCATTTAGGAGAGTGTGGATAAACCAGGTAAACATACTATGATTGCCTAGCAATATTAAGGGGCCCTCTGAAGATCATGGTCATGAATTTAAAGATACACCAATCAGCAACATTTTGTTTATCTCCAGCCATATTTAGCTGTAAGATACAGGACAGACACAGCCGCTTTATCCAAGGCAAGGATTTTGGTCAAGCAAGATCCATGAAGCAAGAGTTGAGGCTATATGCAAGAAAACAGTTATAACACAGACTGTGGAATTTAATCCACTGTAAGGAAGGAAGAAAGGACATGAAAGAAGTAATGATCATGAAAAGATGGAAGAAACAATGGATTCAAGGTCTGAATGGTACTGAAGGATTGTTAGAGTTAGGATATTAAAGGAAGTGAGCTAGAAAGATGAGAGACGGTTGAGAAGAGAATAGACGCTTGAAATTAAGATTTGAGAACTGTTGTAATTAAATGATCAGACCGCGAGAAGATAGCCGACAGGGTAGATAAAAAGATATTTGTAGGAAAGAAGTTCAAGGAATTAAGAAACCAAGGTGTTGGAAGGATCATTTACAAAGATTTAAATTACTGAACACACACACCTATGATAAAGTTTAATTTACAAATTAGGCACAGTGAGAGATTAACAACAGTAATTAATAATAAAATAGAATGATTATAACAATATACTATAATAAAAGTTATGTGAATATGGTCTCTGTCTTTTGTACTGTACATACAATGTGGATACGCTGGACAAAAGGATTCATATCATGGGTGGGACAGGGTGGGACAATCAGAGATTTCATCACACTACTCAAAATGGTGTGCAATTTAAAACTTATGAATTGTTTATTTCTGAAATTTTCCATTTAATATTTTCAGACAACAGTTAACTGAAACTACAGAAAGTGAAACCACAGATAAGGGGGACTACTGTATGTTTTACCAGTTAATCCAGTGATATGATAGCTGCTAGGGGAAAAAAGCAATGAACACTGAGAAGGCTACAGAGAAACAATGTCCTCAGGAAGACAGATTTCAGTCAGAAGATGATGGTGAAAAAAAAATGTATAGGGAAGAGGCTGACAATAGGAGAAATTTTTTCTTAAAAAATTAGTTGATGAATTAGTTCCACAGGGCATAGCAAAAAGTTTCAGGCATTGTAGAGGAAAAAAGATAAAGATGCCAGGTGAGCAGAAACTGGAGATATGAGTGAGGGGAGATGTGAGAATCTTAGACTCCTTGCAGTGACTGTCATAAACAGCTGGAAAAGGCATAATGAAATTAGTCCTGACTGAATCATAGCAAATGATAATGTCAAGTCTGAAAGTGTTGGAAAGCAAGGTGAAACTGATGTCTAGGAAGTCCTCTTAGCCCTGCAGAGAGAAGCATGGACACCCTGGGTAGGGATGATCTTACCCAAGCATAGAACATGAGGAACTCATTCTTGACCCCTCCACAAGAGGGCCCATTTTACTAAGCATACAGTCTTACTCCAAGGGCACTGGGATTTACTTTTGATTCATATTAGTTATGTATTAAGTAAAAATAACATTAATTGCAATACATTCTGACATCTTCTATTTCATTTTTGGTTTTGTTTTTCAATTATGGCTATAACCCATTCAACTTTACAACCCACTAATGGGTTGTGTGACCCATGGTTTGAAAAAACACTGTAGGAGGCAATAACCCGTAAGTTCAGAATCTACCAGGAGACTCTGAAGTTCTGAATCTTTATGTCAAATATATGCAAGTTATTTTGAAATTGATCTGTGCTATCTCTATAGAGTTAACATGCAAACAAACCAAACACATGCATATAAACATGGGAAAGTTATTTTTACTTTTTTATCTTTCATTATTTTACTTTGTGGATTATTGATAAATGCTTAGTCTTACCACTTGATCAAGTCATTATTGTCCTTTTGCCATGCCATCATCCAAAGATTTCCCACTGAATCTTCCCCCTCAAACCACACGAGGCATGATTAAATAAATGGATACTTTAAGTCAAGTATTCATTCATTCATTCCATGAACATTTATTTGATGCCTATTATACCAGGCATTGGATATGTAATGATGAAAGAAAAAGATATGGTCCCTTTATTCATAGTGCTCTGATAGAGAATGCTGGGATGGGAGCCAAATTTTATACAAAGCCCTGTTAGAGAACGTAACATTTAAGCTAAGACTTGAAGGATGGAAAAGAGCCATCCAAGAGAAGAACCAGGGATAAAGCCTTCAAGGTAGTTTAAGCTTGGATATTAAAATATCAACTCAGTAACTAGCGTGAAAAAATCTGATAATTATTTCCACCTCAAACATCTAAAACTTCAGTTAACTCATTTCTTTCAATCCCAGGTAGTTACATCTGTCAGGTAAAGATGTAAAGAGCTTGAACCTATTAGAAGAATTAAAAGGCAGTTTCTATGGCTGCAGCATGGAAAGTGAGGGTAAGAAAGGCTGAAGATAAACTTGTAGTGGTGAATAGAGAGTAAATAACACAATGCTTTTTAAACTATAGTGAGTAGTTTAAATTTTATTCAAGGTGCAATGAAAAGCTATGTTTTAACGAGAGTAATATAATTGGATTTGTGTTTTTTTAAAAAAACAAAAGCCCTCTGGCTGCTGTGTAGAGAATGAACTGGAAAAAACCCAAAAGGAAGCTGGGAAAACAATAATGAAGCTATTATTTTGGTCCAAGCAAAAGATGTTAATAGCTTGGATTAGCAAGTGCAATAAAAATGATGAAAAGTGCTCATGGTTGAGATATACACTTTGGAGATAGAATCTATAGGACTTACCAAAGAATTAGGTGTTGTTTTAAATGGGAAAAGATTGATGCCCACCTTTTTGGATTTAGCAGTAGCCATATAATGTTGCCATTTATTGGGGAAGACTGTTGGAGAAATGGCATGGGAAGGAAAATCAAGAGCACCATTTTAAACATGTTAAGTTAAAGATGCCAATAAAATATGCAAGTGCAAAAGTGAATTACCAATTTGGATATGGGAATTCATAGAAGTATAACCTGGAAATAAAAATTTGGGAGCAATCAGAATATTAATGGCATAGAAATAGCAGAAATCACCTAGAGAAAAGAGTACAAAGAAATAAGTAACTGAAAATATTATTGGTAACATAGACTATGTTCGAATATTAGAACACATAGCTTTAAGGACATTTTCAAAATGATTGCCTTTCTCTTCATAAACTACTGAAAATGCCACATGAGAATGATTCATATCCATAGGTTTCTCAACAAATGAATGAATAAATGATACAGCTATGTAAACAAATGCATTTTGGTGTTTTTACTTCTGCCAAAATTGCTGATTTACTAAGTCAGCACTTCTTTTTATTTTTAAATCCACATTTCACTTAGAATAGCCACTCAGCACCAGGGGTCAGCAAATGATGGACTATGGGACAAATCCAGCTTGCTGCCTATTTTTATATTGCCTGTGAGTTAAGAAAAGTTTTTATATTTTTAAATGGTTGAAATAAATTGAAAAGAAGACTATTTCATGATACAAATTTCAGCTTTCTGTAGCCATAAAGATTTATTCGAATATAGTCATGCTTACTCCTTCGCATATGGCCTACAGCTGCTTTCATGCTATGACAGCAGAACTGAGTAGTTACAAAAGAGACTACAGGGCCCACAAAGCCTAAAATATTTACTACCTGCCTCTGTACAGAAAAAGGTTGCTGACCCCTAATATAGCACATCACTAACTTGGTAGCTAAATTTATAAATATCTTGCCTGTAAATCTTCAAATACTCAGAACATCTCCATATATCGAGTGAACTCAAATACAAGCATTTAAAAGCACAATGCCTACCAGAAGACATTGACAAAGAAAAACTGAACCAAAAATCAAAGATTCTAAGTTTAAGCCTAGATATTAAAATATCGACTCGGTAACTAGTGTGAAAAAATTTGATAATTATTTCCATCTCAAACATCTAAAACTTCAGAGTTAACTCATTTCTTTCCATCCCTCCCCACTCTTCTCTGTCGGAAAAAAGTAAAAGTGTGTGAAATATTTTATACCTAAGGCTGCTACTGGGTCCTTGAGAATAGCAACAATTACCTTAAAATTGCAACACGTTTTAAAATTCTTGAAATATAATTCATTCCATGTACCTGCCACTAGCCAAATAAACAAAGATATATTCTTCTTAGCATTGAAATTTTCCAAGTTAAAAACTTTTCCTATTACTATCTTTGTTCTATAATCAATACTTGGCATACATATATATACACTGTGTATGACTTTCTTCAGGTCAACAAGTAATCAAATCGTTCAGTAAATTATTATTCCAGGGCACTTACTGACACCCTACAAGATTTGAGAAAAAGGTAAAAGCTCTCAAAAAGAGTACCAAATCACCCCCTATAGAATAGTTGGAGACAGAAAAAGCATGCCATATAGTGTTTTCATTTACATTCTGTATGCCTTTAAAACTGTTATTGCTTTACCAAAAACACTTTAGCTTGAAAAACTTTTGTTTGCTGATTCCTTAACTAAGTTATTATTACCAAATCTACTCCTGTTATATGTTAAACCAGTTTTGATACATTATTTAGTCAACTGCATAACCTAATTTTATTTCTAGGCAATTAAGAAACTCACACTGTCTTCCACATCTCCAGTCTTCCAGCCTTTTAACAGCATTTTAGACACAGGTATTTGAAGTTCATTTTCTAGAATCTGTTTAATTTCTCCTGTATAAATAAGAAGAGATCGAATATTACTAACAAAATAATGCAACATTTGTCCATATCCAGGGATAGCATTCATATTAGTCGTATGGTGCACAATCAATGACATTTGTCTGATGAATGAATAACAAAAATTTCAATAGTCTAAACTTCAAAACTTGATCAAACAACATGTTGTCCCTTTGAAGAACTCAGGTTGCAACATTAGTTATGATAAAAGACCCCACAACTAATTAACTAAGTAGTTAATTAACTGCATTACTTTTTAAAAGAAATAGATACCATGATTGGGGGTTTTAAGAGAAACAATCTATTTTAAACCAATCAATTGGCAATACCTATATGTGCTCAGCATATGGTAAGAGTAGCTAGTAAAGTATAAAACCTGAGTCATTATAGTATGCGGGAAGCAGATTTTAGAATGAAGATATGTAATGAAGTCTTATCTTAAAGAAATCAAATAACTTGTCTATTCTTAGTTTTTGCATCTGTAAAACAGGGACTAATATTGCCCATCTTCTCTACCCCTAGGGTCCAACGATGAAAGAAAATAACATCCATGAAAGAAGCTGAAAAAAATAAAGCCAATGTATATATAATCTAGAAGACAATTTAAATTGAATTAAAGAGAATTTCAGGGAAAAAAATGTGTTATATCTAATATGGCTTTGTGAGAGAGATGAGCCTTAAACCCAGCTTGAAGAAAAACTGGGTTTAAACCAAGCTTAAAGTATAATAACTGGGTTGCGAAGGAAAGTCAAACCAAAGGCAAGGACATTATTCGGTGAAAACGGAAAGGTCAAAAGGCAAAAATGAACACAATGCTAATGAGAAACAGCGAGGAATCACAATTTTCCCAGTACTCCACAAATTATTTTTCAAGAATCAAGTCTACTTATAAATCAAGCATCTAATTTCTGGTACTACAGTTTATCAAACAGATTGTTGAATCAGAATGTACAAATAATTCATACATCTGATTTTATTATGTTGGTGCTAGCCTATAATTTGAGATTAACACATAATTCAATTCCAATTATAAGTGACTGAATACTGAAAAACATTATATTACATATTAAAAGATGAAAAAATAATTCCATACTGATAAAGGAAAAGAAAGGTGGCGGGGGGCAAGGGGGAATTTACGCTATAGAAGTTCTATGGAAACACAGCTGCCTCAGCTAAGCAATGCTACACTCAAACCCTTCAAGACTTAGTGACATTTTTTTACTTTCCTAAAGAAAATTCCTATCTGGGCACTCCGTATAGTGATTAAACATTATAAAAGGAATTCTGGTTCAAAATTATATTTTAGAAACATAAACTTTTATCAACTTTGGCCTTCAAAAATGTTACTACTGACAAAGGATTGTTCTGTTTGTATAAATACATATAAATACTGCCTTTTCGTTTGTGGCTAAGGTTGCTATTTCTAGAGCTGTACTTGTCTGGAACTTTTAAAGCTTTTACAAATCTGCCCAGTGCTTTCCCCTTAGACACTTATCCTCACCACTCAGCACTCAAAACCTAAAAGAAGTTTCTTACAGATAAACAAAAAGATTTTTTAAGTTAAAGTCCCAATTACTCTTTGCAGCAAGTTTGGGGAACATATAAAACAAATAGTCTTTTGTTCCACAGGTAGTGAGGAATAGAAAACAAAACCAGAATCATGACAGCAAACTGAGTTCCACATATTTTAAAAATTATTCTCTTTTGGTTATCAATTTCTTCTTTTGTAAAGTGAGGATGACTATTGTACTAATACCTCATTGGGTTACTGCATTAAATGACATAAGGCATGGAAAATATTTTGTATTAATGTGTCCAATACTTACAAGAGACTCAAAAATGTTATTTTGAGTTGTATTGATTAAGGTAATACACACATAAGCATCTAGCATGATACCTGGCCAGCAAAGTTTCTCAATAAACAGTAGTTATTGGTTTTAGAATATCCAAAACAATTTAGAGCAGTGAAGAATGCAGCTAGAATGTAGCCAGTTTCAGAGCTAGTAGTCATACTGAGTCTGCCTGACTCCAAAGATCGTAACACAAGATGGTGCTGCCACTACAGTACTCCCTGTATGTTACTTGATATATGCAGATGTCATCAAGAACAGTCCATTGAAATTGCAAATCTGATAAGAGGTTAATACTCAAAATATCTGATAAGAGGTTAATACTCAAAATATATAAAGAATTCATACAACTCAATAGTAAAAACATCAAATAATCTAACTTACAAAGGGGCAAAGGATCTGCATAGAAATTTTTCCAAAGAAGATATACAAATGGCCAACAAGCACAAAAAAAGGTGCTCACTAATTACTGCATCACTGATTGTTACAGAAATGCAAATTAAAAACACAATGAGATATCATCTCATGCTTGTCAGAATGGCTATCATCAATAAGACAAGAGATACAAACGCTGAGAAGGATGTGGAGAAAATGGAACCCTTGGGCACTCTTGGTAGGATTGTAAACTGATATAGCCACTATGGAAAACACTATAGAAGTTTCTCAAAAATTAAAAATAGAAATACCATATGATCTAGCAATTCCACTTCTGGGAATATACATGATGGAAACAAAAACACTATGTTGAAGAGCTACTGGCATCCCCATATTCATAGCAGCATTATCTACAATAGCCAAGATAGGGAAACAACCTAAGTGTATACCAATAAATGAATGGATAAGAAGTTGTGGTACACATGCACACACACACAATGGAATATTAAAAACAGAAGGAAATTTTGCCATTTGCAATAATATGGATGGATTTTTGAGGACATTATGCTAAGTGAAAGAAGTCAAACAGAGAAAGACAAATACTGTTTAAATCAAATATGGAATCTTAAAAAAAACAAAAAAAAACTCATAGAAAAAGATAAGATTTATGGTAACTAGAGCAGGGAGTGGAGGGTAAAGGAACTGGACAAAGGAGATTAAAAGGAACAAACTTCTAGTTACAATATAAGTAAGTAGTGGAGGTATATTATATGATGATTGTAGTTAACAGTTGTGTGTGGTATATTTAAAATATGTTAAGAAAGTAAACCTAAAAGTTCTCATCACAGGGAGAAAAAACTTTTTTTTTTTTTTGGTATCTATATCAGATAATAGATGTTAACTAAACTTATTGTGGTGATAATTTTACAACATATGCAAGTCATGATGCTGTACACCTTAAACTTACACAGTGTTGTATATCAAATATACCACAATAAAACTGGGAAAAAAGATTTTTTTAAAAAAAGAAAGAACAGTTCATCGAATCCAACAGCATACTTTAAAAATAAAAGTTAATTGGATTATGATTTATATATAGTAAAATTCACTTATGAGTTTTGACAAATACATAAACTATTATAACCACATCAATACACAAAACATTTCTTGTACTATTAAAAGTTTATTCGTATCCCTTTGAAACAAAAGCCTATCCCCACCCCAACCTCTTCCTTCTCACTCTAAAGATTAGTTTTGTCTGTTCTCTTTTACGTCTGGGTTCTTTTGCTCTGCATGTTTTTGAGATTGTTGTACAAATTGTTATGTGTACCAATAGAGTTCCTTTTCATTGCTCAGTAGTATTCCATTATATACTGCAATAGGCAGCTTCTGAAATGGCCTCCAATGCTCCCCACCTCATGGTATCCATGCCCTTGGGAATCCCTTCCCCCTTGAGTGTGGGCTGTACCAAGTTACTTCTAATGAAGAGAATACAATAATGGTATTGGGATATCACTTCTGAGTTAGGTTACAAAAGATTGTGACTTCCATTTTGCTAGCATACCTCTATTGCGCTCTAACTTGCTCACTCTTATGAAGCCAGATGCCTTACTGTGAAGTGCTCTATGGAGAGGTAGACTTAACAAGCAATTGAGGGCTGCCTCCAAGAATGAGTGAGGAAATAAGGCTCCCAGTGAAACAGCCCACACAGAAATGAATCCTGCCAGCAACCATATCAGCAATCCCAGAAGTGGATCCTTTGTAGTGGAGCCTTGAGATGACACTTATTACAGCCCATTAGAGACCAGCTAAGCCATGCCCAGATTCCTGACCTACATAAACTGTGAGATAGCAAATTTTGTTTTTTTAAATCATTAAATTTTGAATAATTTGTTAACTGTAAAAGATAACTAATACATACGGATATAGCACAATTTGTTTATCCATTCACCAGTTTATGAACAACTAGGTTGTTTTGGTTTTTCTCTGTTATAAATAAAGCTGTTATGAACATTACTCTGTAAACCTTTTTATAAATATATGTGTTGATTTCTCTTAAGCAAATACCTAAGAATGGAACTTCTAGATTGTAAGTATATGATTACCTTCATAAAAAACTACCAAACTTTTTTCCAAAGTTGATGGTTCCATCCTGCATTCCACCAGAGTTCCAGTTATTCCACATCAGTACCAACAATTAGAATTTTCTATCATTTTAATGTTAGCCATTCCACTGGGTATGAAGTAGTTTGTCATTGTGGTTTCAATTTGTATTTCCTGATAATTAATAACTAATGAAACTGAGCATTTTTTGGTGTGATTATTGGCTATTTGCATATCTTCTATAAAGTGCTGTTAATGAGTAAACCTTGCTCTTGATCTTAGGAAAGAAGCATTCAGTCTTTAATTATAAAATATTAGTTGTACGTTCTTTAGCAATGTGCTTTACCAGGCTGACAAAATTTCCTTCTACTGTGGCTTTGCTGCGAGTTTAATTAAAAAAAAAAAAAAAACTTCTGAAATGTGTGTTAAATATTGTCAAATGCTTTTTCTTTCAATTACTGAAATGAACAGATAAATTTTCTCATTTATTGTACTAACATGGTGAATTACAATACTCAATTATAAACTGTTAAACAAGCCTTGTATTCCTGGATAAATCCCATTTGACCATAAGGTATATTATATATATGCTTATGCATATATTTTATTATATTTTACTGAATTTAACTTGCAAATATTTTGTAAAATATTTCTGCCTCTGTGGTT